TTATTTTAGTTCTACTTTTTTTTTTAATTATAACATAATTTATGAACAACTAATTAATATGTCATTAATTTATTTTATTTTCAGGTTCACAAACATTGAGGCCACCCGAGTAATATCATTGGGATTTAAATCATCAATGGAGATTCTATTATTTCAATGGAGTCAGGTTTTCAGACATCCTAAATGAACACCTTATATCAATGTATGGTTTGACAAATTTGAGGCTGGTGTTAATTTTTAATTTCCAACTTATTTTTAATAAATCATTTATACACAGCACAAATTTGATTGGGACAACGCACTTGACAATGTTGTGAGGAGAGTGTGGGAAAATCACACGGCAACTAGGTACCATTGAAAATAATACAATATTTTTTTTTTATAAAAAATTATGTTTCAAAATCTAACTTGTTACTATAGAAGTAGGTTGTGCGATTTTTCGTATAAAGCACAAAAAAATCCAAAACAATGCGAGAGATAACGATCTCCAAGGCTGGAACGACATGGTGGTTTAAAGGGATTTCAAACTGCTATACATCTCGGGAGATATATGAAGCTATATACTAAGCACATGACATCTAAATAATTCACACAACGCTTACAATCCGGTACTAGCAACCAGAATCAGCAAATTCATGGTTCGATGACAACGCACACCAGCAGCTCCATTTCGTTTGTTGGACATACAAAACGAATGGTAAGATTAATTAAAATAAAATATATCATTAATTAAGTTATTGTTACTTAAATAATTTTTTTCTTATAAGTTACGTCTCTTGGACATGAGCCGAGCCCAATGGAGCTGTTTGTAGAGATGCATGTGCGAAGTGAAGACCGCCAAAAAAGGGTGCAACAGTTCGTTGACAACCGTGCTCAATACTTTGTGGTATGTTTGTTCAATCATTTTATTTCATAAGTTATTATTTTTATTGAATTGAGTATGATGATTTCTTTTTCTCATTTTCAAGAGACTTATAATAGCCGGTTGAGGGAGAGATATGGGGACAATCCTTTAACCCATCTAGATTTCGATCTAGATTTATGGATTGAGATAGGATCGTACGATGGACCCGATAAAAATTAAACGTATGGGCTCTCCAATACTACAACCGAGAATTTATGGGTGACCCATAATGTCTTATCCGTTGAGAGATCTTAATCAATATCAAGCACCAAATCTAAAAAGTTTGTGGCCTTATAGTAACTCTTGGTGAATTATAAACAACTCTGGCAAATGGTCATGAACATTGCATTCTTTCTTAGTTGTATGGTTTCAAGAACAACCAACCTCCTCCTCCTTCAGCTCTATCATTGTTCTATTTTAATCTCTTTTTTGGAAACACATTAAAGTTGTAATGAATATTATTTAACTTTATTTTTTATTTTTTATTTTTAATAAAATTTTATTTTTTTAGAAACACATTAAATTTGTAATGAATATTAATGTATATAATTTTATATTATTTATTTTAAATAATTTAAAAAAAAAACTTTGAAAAACCCCATCGATGAATTTATAGACGGAATGTCTCTGTTGGCATTTTATAGAGAGTTGAAAAATATTTACTAAAAATGCCACCATCACCGATGCATTCACCAACAGATAAAGTTCATTGGCATTTTATCAAGAGTTGAAAAATATTTATTGGAATTGCCACAATCACCAACGTCTTCATGAATGGATAAAGTCCGTTGATATTGTACTGAGAGTTAAAAAATATTTACTGGAATTGCCACAATCACCGACGTCTTTACAGATGGATGGAGTCCATTAGTATTGTACCAAGAGTTTAAAAATATTTACTAAATATGCCACTATCACCGAACAAAATATATTCGTATATTTCCAGTAGGATATTTTTTGCGCGCATTTTCCCTTTGTAAAACTATTGGTAATGTTTTTTTTTTCTAACAGAGTTAGCAATGGAATGTGGGATTACCGACATACACTTTCCATCGACGATTTAGTTGATAAAAAATTTATCGACAAAGTTTAAATCTCATACCGACAGATTCAGTCCGTTGGTAAAACTGGGAAATCTCGTACTATGTTTCTACTATGTGAATTCTTGCATAATTTGCTTTTTTTATTTTGTTCAATTAATTTCATGTGTGGTTATATTTTTATTATCATTTGATTGAATAAAAAATTAATTTTAATAAACAAGTTTAGTAAATGCACCTAAGTAAATGTTCCATGTTATGAGATCAAATATCTAAATATATATATATGTCTCTTAATTTCTTCATTTTTATTTTTACTTATCATTAATATCTTTTTTTCATTTATTTACATAATAGTTTTCAATTTATTTAATTAGATACTTGTTTTTGTAAAACAACACATTTGAAAAGCTTGCATGTCTAATTTTTTGCTAGAAAAAAAGATACTACCTAGAACAAAACACAAGTCAAATAGCTAATGTATGTGTGTATAATGGTTCAAGTGTAAAGTAGGTTGATTGCAAATATGATTTAAAATATTAAGAAATCTAAAGGGCTTCTTGGTTTATTATTCATGCAAACACAAGTCAATGTGGATTTATACAATAAATTGATTTTTTTTGTTCTTTAATTTCTTTATCTAAGATTGAAAATTAAATTTTATAATTTATTTTGATTTGCTTTTTAAAATGTTATCACAGTCTTAAAAAATCCTTATAGTGGATTGGTGCTCGATTTTGGGGAAAAAAAATGATTTTGTTGTTTGCAACATATTAAAAAAACATAGGATAAAAATTAAAAAGAAAAGAATGGCATTCGTTAAAAAAAAAAAAATTGTGTTGGCACTTTTTTTATTGTTTTAACCTTAATATTTTTCTAAATTTTGTTTTCTGGTTATTTTAGTTTGGATATTATACTTCTTAGACCAAAAATATAATTTTTGGATTGATAAATTGATTTTTAGAGATTCTAACGGTATTTATTATGTATTTTTAGATGAAAATATGTTTTTTAAAAATAGATTTTTAGTTTAAAAAATCCTAAAGTTTATGACCATCTCTATAATGTCTGGAATGTAGGCAAGACTACAACGTGTCATCTACTATAGCAAACAAAGCGTCATGTGATTTAAATTGGAAAAAGAAAAATCAAAACTTCAAGGTGTTCTAGGTGTGCTGACTATTCAAGCTAACATGTCTAACCTGCTTTTTTCTAATAATTTAAATGTAATTTTTAAAAAATTAGTTAATTGAAATAAATTACTTTTTTTATTTTAATAAATTCTTTTTTAGATATTATTTTAATATTGTTCAGTTTTTTACTGTGTTCAAGTTAGAAAGCATTTTCTTATGTACAACTCATTGTAATCATTTAAAAAATTTCTATTTGATTGCTTTAAAGTTAGTGTCAATTTTTTTGTTATATAATTAAATAAAAAATATTTTAAAAATAAAATTAGTAAACCCTGTAGAGTCTATGATCTATGTCACGAGTTTAACAAATCGTAATATATAACCAAACAAATTTCATTGATGTTTTTGTTTGTATTTGTCTATTTTATTATAGTGGGTTTTTTTTGTTATTATCAATTTAAATATATGAAAATTTGGTGTGTGTGTGTGTGTATAAAGATAGTGAAATTATCAAAACACCTTCAAAAGCAAAACTTTTAAAATTGATGTCTATAAATTTTTTCATCCTTTTACAATGATTATTATTATTATTATTAATATTAATATTATTATAAGGTCATCTTAGGAGCAATATAACATTTAATCAAATATATATTAAAAAAAATGATTAGGGCACATATGATGCACTTTTCAATACATGTATGAGAGGTGTTTGTGCCTTTCAAGAGTCTATACAGCACCTTTTAACATCCAAAAAAGGTCTTATACCATGTTGATGGAAGTGTCACAACATTTTTATTTTAGTGATGTGACACATGTAGATAGTAGTTGTCTAGTTTGTTGTTAGTTAACTTTTCTTTTTATTTATTTTTCTCTTTTTTTATTCAAGAATCATAATTTGACCCTTTTTGTTATTGATATTTCAATTTTATTTTTTATTTTTTTTATTTTTTATTTTTATTCTTACCTCTTTTATTAAAGTTTTATATATTTTTCTTTCTAGATCTAGTTGTATTATTATTATTTTTTAAAAAAAAATTATACTACTTTCTGAATTTGTTTTTCAAAAATGTTAATTTTCAAAAAACAATTCACAGATTTTTTTTTTTATTTGATGGTAAACATATCCTTGAAATGATTTTGCTATCAATTAAGAAATTTAATGAATTTTTTAATACTTGATTTCAAGATTTGAAACGCAACGAATAATTCCAGTAATTAACTGTTGGGGGTGAATCCAGCAATGTGATTGGCTTCCTCCACCTGAATCTGCTCATCCATAATAATTGAGATTACTACATATTCATTTTTGGTCGTAGAAAACTAATTTCTTCGAGGACCGATGGGCAAGTCATTCCAAAACAAAACACCCCCCCTCTCTCTCCCCTCTCCCAGTCCGCTCCTCCTTATTTATGGACACACCCCAACCGAAAAACTTCAGGAGGACAAAGGTTTCTGTCTCAAAAAAGTGCTTATGCCGCACTCGATTAGAGAAAGAAAACAAAGAAGAAGAAGAAGAACAAAGAAAGTTAAGGGTTTTTCCTTGGGTGATTGAGCAAACCCTAGTTAGTTTATGGTGCAGCTAAAGAATTCTCTTGGTTTTGATGTATATAAAACTTGATGTGTGCATCTGTGTTTCCAGATCTGAGTGATGACCTCATGGGGTGCTTAGATTTTGCCCGTATAATTCATTTTCTAGTTCAGAAAATTAAAGAGGGACACAAAAGAATGACAGAAGAGAGTGAGCACACACGAAAGTATATGGTATGAAGGCATTCCATTGCAGCGTGTGTGCTCACGTCTCTTCTGTCAGCTTCCACTTCCAAGTGTTTCCTCTTGCACCCACTAAACCTTCATTTTTCAGTTCTATTTTACTTTCAAGGAAAAAAGAAGTGCTATCCTCTTCTTTCTTAGTGTGTGTGTGTGTGTGTGTGTGCGTGTGTGTGTGTGGTTATTATTTCAATTATAATCTCCACTTGTAACTGATCCTTCTTATCTTCTAGATGTATGTGTTTTCTCTCTCTTTCTCTGCAGCTTCCTTTATCACAACATACGCTTGTGTCTTTCTCGCTTTCTTTATGGCTGAAAGGGCAGCTGAAGAGCGGCACTGCCTTAAGTATCGTAATTAAGTGCAAGCTTGACGCATCATCCTCCCCATCCATAAAAAATCTGCTCTATATGACACCTCTCTCTTTTCTTTCAGGCAATGAAATTATTTTATAATGGCTGGTAACTAGAATTGTAGAAATGGAATGATTTTTTTGGCGGGTTCATTTCATACATCAGATTATTATAGTTTTTTTTTTTTTTTAAGAATTTTCCCTGTCAAATTTCATCCACTTGTGTGAGCTTATATTCTTATATAAACCAACAACAACAAAAAAACTAGTGATGGTGCTCGAAAGCGTGGCTTTTCATGGTGGTCCTCTTTTTGGAAGGAGAGGACGATTTGTGCTCTTTGAAGTACGCTTGTTTACTGTTCAAAATTTAACGGAAAACTGTATTTTGGAATCTGAAAATGAGTTCCCACTATTATATTTCACCAGCTTTTGATTCATCAAGACTCTCCCGCTTCTCTTCTTTCTTTAATCCTTTTGTATCTCTTGGTGACCATGCAAGGTAAAGGAAGGAGGAAAGGGCTGTGTGGCTACTACTGTCTCTTAATCTGGGTCTGCTTATTTTATTTTATTTTGAAAGCCTATCCAGATTTTTCTGTTTTTACTGATGTTTAACCTAACTAATTAATGCAGTACTTTAAATTTTGGGTATTGTGGATTCGGGGATTTTTTTGGTGCCTAGAACTCGTACTTGCAGTAGGAGAAAAGGGACTCTCCTGAAAATAGGGTCAGCAAATAAGGTGCCAAATATGGGAAAGTGTCTTTGTTTCCTCTTCTGGTCAGATATGCATTATTTCGCTCCCTTAAGGCAAGTAATTTATCGAAGGAAATTTTTGTTTTTTTTTAGGGGTTAAATGCCATGGGGAATTTCCATGTTCAGTGGTTAGTAGTTAATTTTGCCAGCTGATTTTTCTCGATCTTTATTTGCTTCCTTTTATGGATGATCTTTCTTATTTGCCAAGGCCTGTGCTTTTATTATTTGAAGTAGCAAATCACCCTTAGTTGTTTTTAAAGCGCTTGCTGTTTGCTTGGTTATAGTGGGGCAACGGACGGCTTCTGTCTCCAGCAGTCAGGTAGCATTCCTTTTCTCTTACATGTTAGTTTTTGCTTTCTAGATGTACTTACCAGTGTTGTTTCTTCTAATTTTATGTGTGTTCTTCAGTGATTTTTTTTGCTAGATTTGGAAAATAATCTCTCTAGTTTGCTTTTATTGGGATTTAGGGGTTCTTGGATTGTACATCAATTGCTTTAAAGGAAGATGTGTGAGCCAATATAATAGGGTTTCGAAATTGTTTAGCATAAAAGTTAATAGCTAGGAGGATTCCTCTTTAATCTAAATCTGTTGTGTTCATGAAGGCAGTTCCACTAATCTATAAATGAAGTACTAGACAGTTTGTTATTAATAATTTTATGCTTCTTTAATGGTAGATTCATGAGTTTTTGTTCGTGGATCAGACTTCGTTCAGTCCTCATAACGGTCATTCTTTAACATCTGATGTTCTAATTTTGGCTGTGTGTACTTGCAGGGTTTTTTTTACCAGTTACAATAATCTTACAGATTTTGTTTTTCCCTTTAGTCCACCAGTTAAAGGAACTGACTTGTGTATGTGCTCTTAAAGGTTCCTTTCTATAATATTCTTGACTATATCTTGTCCTTGAACAGAAGATATATTGAATGACTGGACTTTATTTCCTCCTTGTGAGAAGTACTTCTATATAAAATGTACTTCTATATAAAATGTGTGTGGCAGGACATGAGTTCCTGTCAAATTACGAAAAAGAAACTAAGTAGATGTGATTAGACATCCAATTATTTGTCATCATCCTATCCTACAATTTAAAAGGACAGCGTGAGAAATAATATTAAAGACTACTGTTTGGTTTTCGGCAAGCACTAATTGATAGAGTGAAGGACCATTTGTATAGACTTTTAGCAACTTGACTTGATGCACTCGTCATAATGAATGTCAAGAGGGGTTTTCAGACTACAATTTAGGTTTTACAGGTACTGTGCTAATGAATTTGATATCAGTTGAGTGGTTTGGTAGTTAGGCATGAAGTTTTCTCACTTCTAGGGAAAACTCTTGAGTTTTTTTTTTTTTTTTCTGTTCGTAAATTAAACTATGCTCATAATTCCTATAACCAATACCATCCTCTCTATCAGTTTTAGCAGTGTTGTTCGCTATTATGCTGTTTGATCTTCTGATCTGATGCCCCTTTTCTTAAGAAAAACAAAGTTCAAGATGAAAACATTGATTTTTTATGTTAAAAGAATCATAATGGCAGACCAAATTCATGAATGCAGTACCATGCACAATGTTGAACCAGTCTGTGCGTGGCAAGTCAGGTTGTTTATGAAAACAAGCTGCTTTGGTTGGCTCTTCCACTTAAGAACTTAATGCAAGCTATAGTTCTATTGTTAGGCATGAGTCAATGATCTCTATCTTATAAACTTCCTAGGAGAAATCTTCTCAAATCAAAACTTTCTTTGTAGTCTCATTTTATAGCATTCTAAACACAAACGAACACACAAGAGTGTACAAGCAATGTTTTGTACGATACGCTGGCATAAATGAGGAAGGAATCATCGCGAACATTTTATTGGAAAGTAAATTAAACTATGAAGATTGTGGATGCAACAATATAAAGGATTTTGTTATATACATGGAAGTTGAGGGGAAGAAAAAATGACCTCCAATGCTTGGAAATAAAGCATCTATATGACGTTAGGTTACACCATGTGAAAGAAACGTTTCTTTTTCTCAATAAAATTTTTCAAATCATGTTGATTTCCTGTTCAAAAATGGTTTCTCATTGAGTCCTGTAGTTCATGTATAATGGGACGTTGTAATTATGCTTGTTTTATTGAGTTCATGTACTTTCCTCCTTGATGCGGTTTTCTATATATATTGCTGTGTCAAAGAGCTATCTATTCCACTGCTGAGTTGTTTGATTTTACCAAATTTCTTGCAATCAGCACTTACTTTTTGTTCACCTCTTTCGTCATGAATGCCAAGTTGAGTAAAGGAGCAGAATCTATCCAGTTTCTATCACTTAGAGGAACTGTGTGCCGTAATTGTGCTGTTAGATATCGTCTGTGCAGAGTTATATCTCATCCTTTGTTTTTCCAGTTTACTGAGTAGCTGGAATTTGAATCGTATAACAATTTCTGAAGTTAAGCACATTCATAATCAGGTTTCAGATTGCTGATGGACATCTTAGCTGTAATTCATTGCATTGATTCTACATATCTGTGCATTGATCATATGTGCAATTAGTTGAATTTGTCATACTTCAAGAAAAGCTATGCAGTTAACCTAAATTCTTTATAGAATTTTCACTTTATTCATGTTGACATCGGGCTCTAACTTCCAAGTCAGGGTAGAGAAGTCTCATCAAATATATAATAGATGTTATATACCTAGATTAGATTTTTGTGAGGGTTTTTTTTTGTTTTCTATCTTTATTTACTAAGAACTCTGCAAAAGTTTGCCTCGTTAATCTAAACCCTAGACTGAGTAATTACAGCACCAAGATGCTTTAAGGATTGAGAGGTGCTATCATCTGTTTATTGGTTCATGTTCTTCTAAAGATTAGTTTTTTCCTTTTTTTTCTGGTTGATACTACCGATAAGGTTATCAGAGATCTGGTTGTTTCAGATGTTTATGCCACTCTCAAGTCCATCTGTCCTAGGGGAGTCTGTAATTAGTCGTTTTAGGCTGTAGAAGAAGGGGCAAAAGACCAAGAACATTTCTTCTCTCAAGCCCCAGACTCCAGATTGTATGTCGTTTCCTATATTGGATAAGAACAAAACCTGAATAAGATATCAGAAATGATTGTTTTGAGCTTGTTTCAACGATGCTTGGGAATTCTCAAGATTGTTTTGAATGAAGAATTTTCTTATTCAAAAGTGGCCTTGGTACAAAGCTGGCACAGAGAACTTTCAGCTAGATAGACAAAGATTCATGTTTGTGCTAGTCTTATGCATACAAACCCATATAAAACATGAAGTGGAATTGAATTCTGGATCTTGGGGGGAATGAAGAAAGCATCTCTTGGATTTGTGTTCAGTGCTGTATTGTTCAGGTTTGTTATTAAAGGAGGAGAGGGTGGTGATTGACTAGGGAAGCAATGCATTTTTGTACTGCTATACTATTCTATATGGGATCATAGTCATATTGTCGAAGCTGGTCTATCATGTTTTCAATATATATGATCATGATGGTTGAAGAGATGGTTCTCTTGCTCTCAGTTGATAAAGTATGAGGCTGGGATGTATTTTGACTAGGGAAGCAATGTTTTCAAACTTTGCTTGGTTGTTTTATATGAACTATGGAAAGATCACATCCCTTTTTACTGAACCAAGACAGTATTTTGCCTAGAAACTGCGAAATACAGAGACTTTCGAGGGTAGTTTTTTAATTAATTTTCACTGAAATTGAGCTGATGTCACCTGTTGAAACAAAATAACTCTTTTTTTTATTTATTTATCTTGCAGACTAATAATTTAATTGTAGAGGAATGAAAATCCTAAAGTTTTAAATGAATATTTTCAAATTTATTGTATCTGATAGCTGATTTCGTGATGGAAACCATAACAAACTGTTGTTGGAGATCTATAGGAACCGGATTTCGAATTATCTAATTCTGTAGGCATAGATAAGTTAGAGAATCAGGTGTTGTGCATAACCTTCTTCTTGCTACTTTTGTATTCCTTTTCTGCATTGATTATTTCGTGTGCCAAAAGCATGCAAATTGGAAGAAAGTTTGTTGTCTTCTGCTATTTGATGCAGTTTAGTCAAGACAAAAATGGAAATTTAATTTTGTTCCTTAAGACATGCCCCTAAAGAATCAAGTCCGTATCCAAGCTCACTTCATGCTCTGATGCATTTGGACATTTTTGTTTGACACTGAAATAAAGGTTGAAATCATATATACAAGATATGCTATATCAAACTTAGCACGCTAGAAACTTACAGTGATTGGCCTGTGTTCATTTTTCTAGATGAAGCTCTTGTTCTTTATATCACTCCTCTTGCACTTCACTAACTTTAAGCTGCGAAGAGTTTTCGCGCAGGAATTCGATGGAAGAAGAAAATGTGAGCTTGATTTTAAATGCAGAAACACCTGCAGTTGAAGAACTATCAGATTCAAATAGCAGCACTCAACCATTTCCACCAAGCAAGCGTGCAAGGTCTGGCTGTAATGTTAGCGCTTCAAGATTCAAAGGTGTTGTGCCACAGCCAAATGGTCACTGGGGTTGTCAAATATATGCCAACCACCAACGGATATGGCTAGGAACCTTCAAATCTGAAAGGGAGGCAGCTATGGCTTATGATAGTGCAGCAATAAAGCTTCGGAGTGGCGATTCAAGGAGAAATTTCCCACCAACTGACATAACTGTCGAAGAGCCAAAATTTCAAAGTTATTACAGCATTGAAGTCGTGCTTGCCATGATAAAGGATGGTACCTACCAATCCAAGTTTGCTGATTTTATAAGAACATGCTCCCAAAGTGTGGGGACTGCACTCAGCCTCAAGCTTATGATGCAGCAAAGTAGTGAAGGGCTAGCATGTAAGCAACTCTTTCGAAAGGAGCTAACACCAAGTGATGTTGGGAAACTAAATAGGCTTGTCATCCCTAAGAAATACGCTATTAAGTACTTCCCAAACATTTCTGAAAGTGCTGAAGAAGATTTGGCGGCTGACAAAGTAGTCGATGTGATACTAGCTTTCTATGACAAGTCAATGAAGTTGTGGAAATTTCGGTATTGTTATTGGAAAAGCAGTCAGAGTTATGTCTTCACAAGGGGTTGGAATCGATTCGTGAAGGAAAAAAAATTGAAGGCAAATGATTCCATTGTTTTCTGCTTATGCGAGAGTGGAGAGACTGTAGATTCCGCTGCTCAAACATTCCAAATGATTGATGTAAGCAACTGTGAAAACAGCAGTAACGTTGCAGAGTCATCCAACCAAAGCATTGCGTCCAAAGTTGAGTTGCAGCTTCTCCAAGAAGAAGGTATCAAGAAGAAGGTCGAGGAAGACAGAATGGTGCGAGCTGATAAGACAACACATGATGCTGTGAAAACAGGCTTTAAACTCTTTGGCATGCAAATTATGTAGAATGACATGGTTTCTTAGGGTTCTCTCTTCAGCCTTTTAGCGGGTTGCTAAGTTCATTCCGATGGCTCAGCTTTTTATATGAGCAATTTTAACTACTAGAAATTACCTTAATTATATGGGACTTGTAATTGGCAGCATGGGTGGATGCTAAAATTGTCGGGCAAGATCTTAGTGATTGGCCAAATTATTAAAGGAAGCAGTTAATGATATTATATATTTAAAAGCAGGGAAGGGAGCAATCATTGCATTTCCTCTTCCAAGACATAATGTCGGGATTTAACGCCCAAGGTATTGTGTTTCTCATTTTTCAGTTCCATTTTAACCAGGTGATTGCATTTGATGGTCTTTTGGATCCTGGGCCAAAATGTCCCTTAGCCAGTTAATGCATAGCACCATTGGTATTCACAAATACAAGAAAGCGGCGGGGAAGATATTTTTAATTGAAAGCATATTAAAACACACACACATAAAATATATATATATATATATATATATATATAGATTAACACATTAAAATTATCTAAAAAATATTAAAAAATATTATTTTAATTTTTTTTTCATATGAAAAGTAATTTAAAAACATTTTAAAAATCTAATTGTAATGCAAAAGCAAATATTCAATTACTCATAACCAATAAAAAAATGGTGATTTACCTGCATGTTTTGCATAAAGGCAACTTTGATACTGATTTCCTAACTAAATTGGGATATCTTAGTTGACGATGCTTTCCTAATTAAATTGGGATATCTTAGTTTACTGGTGAGTTCCATGTCGCGGATCAAATCAAAATGGCTTTAAACATAAAAAAAATCCAAGCCATAAGAAATCATTTGGAAATATTGTTATTAAACCCAGATTAGTGGGTAACTAAAAAACCTTTTAACCCGATTCCTTACCTAGTTCAGGTTAAAGTTAAATCATGTTAGCGTTATTTTGACATGTCTCATTCAATTTGATGGGTCAAAAAGTAACTTAAATACTTAGTAAAAGTGTAGTTTAGATTTAAAAATAAATCAAGCTGACATCTTTTATATATATAATATTGAGATGCCAACATATTTGATTAATTCAGACTATATGAAAAACTTAAATAAATAATGAAAATAAATTCAAAATCATGAAAATATTAACTGATGAAATTAAAAAAAATAAAAGATAAAAAAAAGGTGAAATGGAAAAGGAAAGAAAAGGAAAGGTTAAAAAAACAAAAAAGCATGCTTCACTTTTATGGATAATGAAATATGTTGTCATATTTTTTTGGTTACTGGATAAAATTAAAAAAATAAAATGAAATAAAAAGTTGGTAAATAAAAAGAAAAGGAAAAAGAAAAAAATAAAGGAATCAAGGTAGATGAAATTCTATTTGTATTATATCTGAGATGAATTTTGAATTTAATTTGATATTTTTACCACAATCTCAAGCTTAATTTCATCACATTAGGTTATAAAAAGGTCTAATTAAAAAAATAAAAATTAAAAAGAAAAAAAGTTAAAGTGCTTCATTGTTTAGATGAATAATAAATTGTTATAATTATATATGTAACTAAAAGCAAATGCATTTTCACTATAGAAATGGCACAATTGACATTTTCTTCAATTTTTTTACTATATTGGTGGCAAATCTCTAATTTTTTAAGTTTATGCTTTGCTTTTTTTAATTTATACTTGGCATATTTATCACTATTGTTTTTCCTTATCTTCATTCTTTTGTAATATTTTTTTAGGTTTTCTTCCTTTTCTTCTTTGCACTTTTTTTTATTCTTTGTAGTTGGAATATTTATCACTCTACACATGGTCTATTTATATTATTCTTTTTCTTCTTATCTTCATTCTTTTTCATTTTTTTCTCTTTTCTCTTTACATGTTTTGTTTTAAAAAAAATTATTATACAAAACAAAAGATAAATGATGTTTGACTATAGCAATTGCAACATTATTCTATTTTTCGACTACGTTAAGAACTATCTTGATATTTTACATGTCTTTATTAATACATATAATTTTTTATTTTATTTTATTATTTATAAGCATCGGTTTATTGATTTACAATTATATGTTTTACTTGATGTCCAAAAATATGTTAATAACACCTACACTTCATTCGTTTGTGTTAGAAAAAACATTATTCGACTTGCGGTGAGGCAAATTGAATAGAAAATTTAACATTGTTTTCATTTATAAGCATTGATGCTTCTCGATTTATTTAATTAAAGATATGTATAAGCTTTACAATTTGTAATTGGGATTTTTGGTATATAAAAAAAGAAGGAAAAACAATGGAAAAGCTTGCATATTTATTTTTTATCAAAAAAATAAAATTATCCAACCCACGACAAAGCACGAGTTGAATAACTAGAATTTTATAAGTGTTTTAGTATAGTAGGATAATCTTGTTATGATGCTTTTTTTTTATCTAGTAGGGTAAAGGTGCTAGTATGAAATTCTTTCTTTTAACACTTATAATGGTTAAATTGGTCCCACTTTACGGATTGATCTAAAACTCTAACAACTTATAAGATAGTGATAATGGTTAAATTTGGTCAAATTTTACAGATTAATCTAAAATATTGACTACTTGTACTCTAGGTCAAGTCATATTTATAAATGAACCAAACAATTCATAGGCTCAAACAAAACCTTATCAAAATAAAAAAAAATTCTTAAATTTATTTTTTGCTAAAAAGTTTAGGTCTATACGTTAACTCAATAATCATTAATGATCCACATCATCGAATAATCCAATGAGTTTGGATATTTGAATTGAACAATTTATAGGCTCAATCAAAACCTAATCAAAATAAAAATAAAATTAATTTTTTTAATTTTATTTTTTGCTAAAAAGTTTAGACCTATACGTTAACAAAATGATCCACATCATCGACTAAATCAATGAATTTGGATATTTGAACCGAACAACTTATAGGCTAAATCAAAACCTTATTAAAATAAAAAATAAAATTTATTTTTATTATTATTATTATTATTTTGCCAACAAGTTCAGACCTATATGTTAACTTGCTGACCATTAATGATCCACATCATCAACTAATCTAATAAGTTTGGATATTTAATTGAATCATGTCCAAAATTAGGTTTAACCATGCATATTGTTTCTACACTTATAATTCTTGTACCAATAAAAAAAAAACATGTTAAAGATTAAGCAAGCTAGTCAGGTATTTTTTTTACTAATATCCAAGCAATACTTTAAGATAATTGACTATAATTTTAACTTGATCAAATAAGAGGTGGTTTTATCTTGTCAATGACTATGTAAGTTTATTCTTAGGCATACTTATAGGCTTTTAGGTTAAAAAGGTCATCCTATGACCACAAATTTGTAATGGATAATCTAGAAATATATGTGAAAAGGATGCTTTATGTTTGGTTAATTAAAAATATATGGTGATTTTTTGAAATTGTTGAAGCTACAAGTCTTTCTAATATAAAGAAGTAGTGATCTTGCTTTTTTGACAAGGAAATGAGTCTTGTGTATTCTTAGTTTTTGTCAATGGAATCATGTCTTGAAAAATTATCTTTGCTAAAAGAAGAAGAAAAGGAACTAGTTTTAGAAGATGAGGATTTAAGAATGGAGGTGCAATCTTTTAATTTTTATTTAATGGGAAGATTTCTTACATATAAAGGGATCTTAATGCCATAAGAAATAAAGTTACTAGTATGTCTAGTATGTAGCGGCCAACTAGAGGTATGTGTATAAGGAATTTTAATTTTAATCATTATTTATTTCAATTCTTTCATCAAGTTGATATGAAAAAGTACTTGAAGATGCACCATCAACTTTTGACAACCATCTATTATTGCTCCATCAACTCAAAGAAAGGGATGTGTTTATCCAAATTGCCACTAATCATATAGAATTCTAGGTTCAGGTGCATGATCTACTAATGGGATGCGTGTCTATAGGCGTTGGAAAACATTTTAGAAATTTTATTGGGACATTTGTCGATTATGATATGAACAATAATAATGGTGTTTGGAGGAACTACATGAGAATCTGGGTTCTGATTGATAGTAGTCTTCCTTTGAAGCAATGGAAGAAGATTCACACAAGTGAAGGCTCATGATGTTTGGTCAAATTCAAGTATGAACATCTCCTAACTTTATGTTTCATCTATATTTTATTAGGTCACTTTAATTAATACCGTGATAAACTCTCCCGAGTTCAAGATGGCAAGGTTCTCAAGGAGTAGAGAGCATGGCTCAAGACAGTTACAAGGAGATAAATACGATAGGGCAGCAGTAGGTGGTTGAGGGATAATAACAAGGTGGAGAAGAATAGATTAACAACCATTACATTTATCACAGTCCAACAATTAAGCACGTCATTTAATTCTATAATTTCATGAGGCATTTCAGTTACATATATTACAATTGACATAAATAGCTGAGAGAGAAGGGCTAAGGTTGTTCAAGAGGAGTTATTTGGGCTAAAAGAGTTAGGTCTTCATCTATTGTATGATATAAAAAAGAAGAAAAGGTGAGTTTAGGGTAAGGTAATACAAGTTCAATAGGCTTTGTAAATGAGACTACTTTTGTTGGGCCAACTTTCTCATCAATGGAGATTATAGGCATATCTGATGGATATAGAGTAATAGCAAGACCTGATGATCACGCTTGCCATCAACCATGAATTGTTTAGGCTTAAACTACCGAGGACTTGCCAACTCTTATACAATTCAAGCTTTTAAAATGCTAATGTTGTCTAAAAAGTCAGATGTTATTTTTTTAGAGACTAGAGTTGATAGTAGTAGAATTAAATCTATTAGAGGGAAAATTAAGTTTGATGAGTGTTTTGCAATTAATAAATTAAGATAAGTGGTTTAGATGTGTTTTGGAAGGGTTCAAAGGCTATTACATTAATTAGATACTCTCATAACCATGTAGATTTAGAAGTGATAGGGTACAAACTCTTTTCAATAAAAATAAATGGTTTTTTAAGTTTCCATAACAATATAGGCGTAGGAATCATGGAACCTTTAAGAGCTCTCAGTAAAAGATATGATCTTCCTTAAGTATGGATTAAAGATTTTAATGATTTGCTTCAATTAGAAGATAAAAGGGGAGATAATCCCCATCCCTTATCCTTGATATAAGGTTTTAGATATGTTGTAAAAGACTGAAACTTGATTAATATTCCTTTAGTGGATTATCCATTCACTTAGGAAAAGGGTGGAAAGACTTCTGTTTGGGT